GTCCTTCCGGATAGATCACCGATCTATCGGTAAGCTGTATTGAGATATTTGTGTCATTGAGAGGCTCGTTAGTAATCATTTTGTAAATAGATAAAGGAATTACATTAATAGATGTGCCAAGATCGCACATGGCTCATTTTATCTCAACTTTACCAATTTTACAGGGTATTGCGAACATACCTTGGTCTTTTAGTTTCGGTGGTAACTTTCGTTGGAAAACGGCTGAGATATGTTCTCCTAAATTCACTTTCTCGACCCCAATAATCTTTTTTTTGTAGTACAAAGATTCTTAAAAAACCTGGCATATCTTGGAACCTTCCGAACTACCTCAAGGAAAGGTATGTTAACTTCCACCTTTCAAAGTACGTATAATATTTCCTTTTCCTCGGCTTGTTTATCCCTTTTAACTAACCTCGATGGAAAATGTGGTGGTACGTTATAGGGAGATGGCGTTGGATCGTCTATTTATTCTTCGTCATTCTCTTTCTGGGATTCTGAATCATTAGTCTTCTTCTCCTTTTGGATTGTTTCGTCTGATGGAACATGTGGCACCACTGAACTGTACCACTCCGAAGAGTGATAGTGCTGACATTCTCCCTTGGGTTCACATCGGTTTGAGACGGAAGCTTACCTTGTGATTCCAAGCGGCCTACGGTTTGAGCCAGCTGGTTTATCTGTTTGCCCATCTCTTGGAAGTGGGCTTCAGTACGAGTCTGGAATTTTTCCTGGGAAAGTGCTAACCTCTCGATAATTGACTCTAGTGATTTATTATGCAACTGTTGTGGTGGAGGATGTGGTCTCGCTTGATAACCTTGATTCGTCTTTAGTTCTGAGCATAACTAAAATTCAGATGATCCCTCAATCCTGGGTTGTATGTATTGCCGTAGGGATTGTAAGCTCTTTGGGGAGGTTCTAGAAAGTTTCTGACTACATTGACTTGAGCTGCTGCGTCATCTTGAATCTGTGGATAACCATCTATCGGATGATCAGGTAATGCACATATTCCATATAATCTATTTGGTCATGTCTTTCCTGCAACAAGAGAGTTGATGACTTCAGTTAACTTATCTATCTTATTTTCTAAGGAAGATGAACTTATCTTATGAATCCTTCGAGGAGGTTCATTATTTGTGCAGAATTATTGGAAATTTGCAGCCACTTTGAAATTAGATCCCTAACACGTAGATATCATCTTCACCAAGATAATCTTCAAAAAGTATTGAAAGAGTGTTTATTTAGTTAACCCATGTTGTGGGTAACTAGAACATAACTTTTTAAACCACTCCCAATAGTCGTAAAGTGACTCTTCATCAAGTTGCTTGATTCCAAGTATTCTTGTTCGCAATTCACTTACTTTTGCCGCAAGGAAAATCCTATCAAGAAAAATACGAGTCATTTGAGCCCATATAGTAATAGAATTAGGGGGTAGATAAAAACTAACTTGACAGCCCCCTCCTGGAGTCGACTAAGGTGAAACTCATTGACAATTCCGTGAGATGTTTGTGTGGATTCTCGTTTGGCAATCCACGGAATGTAGGGAGGAGATGAATAAGGCCAGTTTTCAACTGGTATAGAGTTTCGCCTTGGGGAAAATAAATGCATAAAGGCTCTTGTTCAGTGGGTGTCGCGGCTAACTCCCGGATAGTAAGATCGACTATCGGAATTGTATTAACGAATTCACCTGAATTTGATTCTTCTTCTGGATTTGACTGTTGTCTCATTCTTTCCAGAAGCGTCTGTGCGTGAAGTCACCTAGCTTTGACTTCGATCTCCGGGTCGTACTCCACTAATGCGCCCTGATTAGTCCTGGTCATAAATCAAAAGTAAAAAAATTGGTAACTTTGCGAAGTCCCCGACAACGGCGCCAATTTGACAACTATAGTTTCGATGTCAAAATAAATTTCTTTTTCTCAATAAATAAATAAGGAAATGCGTAGTAAAGAGAAATAAGGGTCGATTCCACAGGTACTTAGTAAAATTCCAAATTTCTATTTGATTGGTTTTAACCATGCATGAAAGTAGTAAATATGGGGGTTTTAGTAAAATGATTTTTAATAATAATAAAGGCAGTTTGAAGTAAAAATAAAGAAAAGATTTTAAAGTTGTAAATTGATATGGTAAAAATAGCCTCAAGCTTCGCTTTGACTCAATTTCCTTTAGATCGTCGAATTAGATTTTCCCTTCGGGATTCACGTCGGTTACTTTGTCTACAAGGGTAATCCCTGTGACTCTATCTTGTATAACGAATACCCAAGGCAATCTTTGATTCCGGCTTCGGAAACTGATCTAATGAACATCAATTGTCGTAGATCAATTGCCGTTTAAGTTCGTGGCGACCGACTCGGATTGTTGCTCCTATAACCGTCAATTCTGATCTCAATTCCCTCAATATCTCGGCCCACACTTTATCGAACAACAATCTAAACAAAACTATCTTTGATTTTGAAAACTGTTTTGATTTTGAAAAATAAACGTAGAGATTGAGAGATATATTCTGAAGATATTATGGGTCTGTTTCAATTCTCCCGTTGGAATTGAGTTATCGCTTCAGCTCTCGACTTATGAAAAATTTAGCTAAGTATGACAAAAGTCATACTTAACATATTTAAAAACAAATCTTAAAAGAAAAAGAAAAATTGAAAAACTTGAAAAGTAAAATAAAAGAGAAAGTGTTTAATAAAACAATAAAGAAGAAGAGAATTGTAATCTGAGATGTGAGTTTAGGCTTACCCCAAGAGGGTATTTATAGCCTCTCTCTTCTCCCTTCTTCCGATCCTTATCATAAACTTCTATCTTAGGCTTGCTTTTAGCTGAACCAGAGACCATCCCAATTCTTTTCCCTCAAGAGCCCTTAATCGTGCTTCAAGCTGCAAAATATAATTGCATGCGTGCAAGTGCAGGTGGAGAAAGAAATAAATCAAACTAAAGTATATGATTTATCTTGGTTCGGTTCACAATGCAGCATTCACAACAATTGACCTGCAAATCTTCTCCTTGTATTTCGGTGCTGCCCGACCAACCAAGGATGCAAGGTATATGAACCAAATGCTTTGTCTTGAGAGCTTTGAAGAGAACCTTCTCTGCACCAAGAATCTGAACAGTTATACCAAGTTGCTTGGAAAGATTCAATAATCTGCCACCATGAGCGATGAGATGAGCACCAACAAGTTCACCGACAAGAGCGGTCAAGTTTGGAGCAATAGTGTTCATCCTGCTCTTTAAATAATCATATAGCTGAGCCTGATATTCAGTAAGGTTGAGAACCTGATCACATAGATCTTTTATATTCATAAGATGAAGGTCATCACCAATGAGCCTAAAGCATTTCCGATAATCTCCTCACGCATATAATCACAGGTACATGCTCCATATTTTTTCGTCGACAACAGCCTAAATGCAACTGCTAGCTTCTCACTATGATGCCTTAATTTTATCACCTTTTCACCAGCGTTTATCTCATCATCTTCGATTAAATTCCAACGTATATCTGAAACATACCCAACTAACTTAATCTTCCGTCCCATCTCTTATTTGAAACATACAAGGTGGCTGTAAGATTTCAAGAATGACATTTTCATCACACTGGCGGGTGATGTGGGGAGCTGGCATCCGCGACTGAGTGAACAAGCATGAAGATGTTGGGAGAATGGGTATCGGTGAAGATCGAGATTTGGGAGGGAGATTTTATGTTTAAATTGATAAACTTTTTAAACATTGATGATTTTTCGAATCAGGATCAATTTTATAGTATATATAAGTTTTGAAGATTAATTCTATTATTATATCATGTTACATCATTATTTTCATTAAGTTATCGGTGAAACCTAACAATGAACGACTAAAACTTAAATAAAACTTTAATGTTAGTCATGATTTAAAAAAAATGTTGGATGATTAAAACATAAACATAAACATAAGAATAGGTAAGAGACCAAATAAGTATTTTATGGGTCTGTTTGTTTGTCGTAAAATCAATTATGGAATTAGTTTTCCCCGAAATCTCGTATTTGTTTCATGTAATTCATTTTCCGGAAAATGTTTTCCCGTGTTTGTTTCACGTAATTCGTTTTCCGAAAAATGTTTTCCCGTGTTTGTTTCACGTAATTCGTTTTCTGGAATGTAATTCATTTTCCTAGTAACAGAATTTCCTTTGTGTTTTCTGTAAAATGACGTACAGAATCAAATTCCGTAAGTCATTTTCTGAACTTTTCACTTCAAAAAATAAATACTCAAATTAATTTTGTTTTATGAATTTAATATTAATAAAATATTTTAATATCATTTTCATTAAAATATTAATTATTAAAATATTTAAAATATATTTATTAATATTTATAATAATATAATATTATATTTTTAATATTATATAATAATCAATTTATTTATAATAATATAAGATATTATATTTTTATTTTAATAATATATAAATTTTTTATATATTTAATAATAATATTTATATATTTTAATAAAGATATTTAAATATACTAATTAATATTTTTAAAATATAATAAATACTATTACTTTAATAAAATTAATATAATTTATAATATTTTATTTTACTAAAATATACCAATATTAATATTTTATTAATAAAATTTATAAAAATAATATTTAATAATAAATAAATTATTTAATATTTTAAAATAATATAATTTTAAATTATGATAAATAATAATATTTATTATATTTAATATTTATAATAAATAATTTTTAAAAAACTCTTTAACTAGTGAAAAAAAATTTAAATAACATCTTCAAAACATAATAAAACGTTTTCAGATTATTTAAAAAAAATATAATTTATTTTTTAAAATTTAAATTTCAGTAATTTTTTTTAATAATTCAAATTTTAATAATTTAAATTTTAATAATTTAATTTTTAATAATTCAAATTTGAGTGATTTATATTTTAAAAAATCAATTACAATCAAACAAAAAAAAAAAGCTAACATTTAATGCTGGGAAGAGAAAGAAATCGTATCATTTGAGTTTGACACAAAGAGTCTCACTTCCGCTGCCAAAAGTCTCAAAACCAAGAAAAAAGCGCGCTAAAAGGGGCGGAAAAACCCTACCGAAGCGATGCCGGAGCTTCCAGAGGTTGAGGCCGCCAGAAGAGCAGTAGAAGAGAATTGCTTGGGCAAGAAGATCAAGAGAGCAATTATAGCCGATGACTCTAAAGTCATCGAAGGAGTCTCCTCCTCGGAGTTCGAGTCCGCTCTCATAAGCAAGACCATCGTCTCGGCTCACCGGAAGGGCAAGAACCTTTGGCTCCTGCTGGATTCCCCTCCTTTTCCTACTTTCCAGTTCGGTATGCCTCACTTCAAAGCCCTAGAAAATGTGTTTATATATTTTCTGGTCATTTTCTTAAAAAAATGTTCTTTTTTTTAAAAATAAAATAAAATGTTGGTTGAATGGGTTTCAGGGATGGCTGGTGCTATTTATATAAAAGGTGTTGCTGTTACAAAATATAAGAGGTGATTTTCTTTCCTGCTTCTCTTGGATACCTATGTTCACTAGTAGTATGTATTTTCACGTATCTTATGTTTTGGTTGTCTCGGAAGCAAAATTTAGGAACTGTGCTTGCATCAAAAGCCGGAAGGAATCTTAGCGTTAATTTTTAGATTGATATTTGGTTAGGAGCATTATGGTAGTAATCTTATTATCTTCTATAAAATGCAGTTACTAATACATACAGTTTTACGCACAGGTCTGCAGTAAAAGACAATGATGAATGGCCTTCAAAATATTCAAAGTTCTTTGTTGAAGTAAGAACCGTTGCTCTTTCCATCGATGATCCAATTTGTTCTGTGATTTTTCTCTAAGTTATCCTTGAAAATTTTCATTCAACCTTTGCAATCTGTCAATCTGTAAAGTTCTAATATTTTTCTAGCATTTTGTTTTCGTATCAAATCTTCTTCCCGTTAACCTTTGCAATTAATCTGACATAGGATATAGTTGTTGAATCCTATTCCTTTCTTAGAAGTTGAAGCTTTTCTATATATATTTCTTAAGTGACTAGTGTATTGGTTTCTATTCCTTTTAATGCTCTGCTATTTCAATTTTCTTTGTGATGTTTCCAAGAGGCGTACTGGATTCTTTTGAAATTCTTATTTTGAATTTCAAATAGCTTTACAAGATCTGATAAATTTGGAGGAGAAAGATATTAAAATTCAATTTCTGGAGCAGATTATTTTGGTCATTTGGCTTTCCAGTGAAAATGGTCACTAGTGGATTTTATCATGTACTCTTTTGTATTGGGCACTCAGACCATTGTCTGCTCTTAAAAAGAAAAAGTAAAATGTGCTGTTTTAAGTGATTTTTATTTGGTTGGATATATTTGTCCGATATTCCAATTTTGAACATAGAAGTAGCAATGAAGTTTTTTTTCTTCAAATCTTTGTAAAATTGTTGAGGCTTCATTCATGAGGATTCATACTAATAGGAATCAGTTTTGACAAGTCATGTGCCTGGGCATGCATGCCTGCACCTAAGCGTTCTAGCTCTAGAGAACAGAAGCACTTGTGACACTTTCGATCTTGGGCATATGATCAGGCACATGCCTGGTGGGTCTTAACACACTTTTTTGTGAGGTGATAGGAAATAAAAAAGTTTGATGGAAATTCTCTTTAATTCCTTTTATTTTTCAATCTTTTCATTAGATGATTCTTTGCTGGTAAGAAAGGAATAGTGTCAAACTCGCTACTTCTCAATATTTGAGTATTCTACAACAGACATGGACCAAAAGGAAATCATGCATATTGACATATAAAAACATTGCTTATTTTGTAGATAAATGAGATTAAGCTTTTTGACTTTAATGTATGTATATACACACACACTTGTACGTGTGATTTAATCACTTGTGTGCATTTTTTGTGTGTTGTGCACCTGAGGCAATATGGGGGCCCTTGGTCCTTGTGCCTTTGGTGACACTGATTTGAATACTCTTTTGCAGCTAGATGATGGTTTGGAGCTATCTTTCACAGATAAGAGGCGATTTGCTAGAGTCCGCTTGCTCAATGATGTATTTCAATTTCTTATTGATTTTTTAGTTTGTTTCAACTTGACACAGTTTGTTTCTTGTTTTGGTTTATATCTTGAAATGATTTGGTTGGTGCAGCCTACATCTGTGCCCCCGATATCTGAGCTTGGCCCTGATGCACTGTTTGAGCCTATGACAGTTGATGAATTTATGGAATCCTTAAGCAAGAAGAAGATTGGCATTAAAGCCCTATTGCTTGATCAGGTTAGAACCCTTGTAGGTCTGGCATTTTCCTTCGGGAAAAAGTAAATGGACAAAGTTTGCCCTAGGTATTTTGTTGATTGCTGAGCTACCTCGAAACGGCGAAAGTGTCCATTTCCTTAGCTACCCGCCTTGATGAGTGAACGTTACTAGCTTAGTTTGCAAGCACATTCTATTACAATTTTGGATTGCATTTAAGGTTGTGAAACCACTCGTGTAACCTCTTTGCCCTTCACTTTTTTAAGTAACTAAATTTGTTAGCTCCCCCCTAGACCATTAAGGATTAGTATTACGTAGACTCAGATATTAGATCCCAGAACCCTTGTTGACATGACTTGGGATCTGAATATTCGCCTGATATGGTAATAGGAATTCTGACTTGACAATGAACAAAGTGAATATCAGAGACAGTAGACAATTTCTGGGTTATGTGAACAACAAATTAACGCAAACCAATCCACATATTTTCAAAAAATGATATATAAGAGGAATTGAGGAAGCTACTGGTCTTGGAAGATATAGAGGATGAAGAGAAAAAAAGAATATAAAATTGTTTTAGAGATAAGTAGGAAGATAGAGGGTTGAACTTGAAACCAGCTTTTGTATGAGCCAATTGTTTCCAACACGGCAGCCTGCTTTATGCCTTCTTCATTGATTTTGAATAGTGATCATGGTCCACTTTGATGAACGAAGAGAGATGGAAAACTAAAAGATGGAAGATTCTAGACAAGTCCATATGATAGGCTTATTGCCTCTTGGTTCTTTATCTAGCTTTCCTAAAAGAAAAAAAATCCAATTATGCCTAGATAAAATATCAACTTCGATGTGCTACTGCTGTTTCTATCTATTTTTCTGACTTGAAGTAAAAACTTATTATTCTTGTTAACGTTTGCAGAGTTATATCTCAGGAATTGGCAACTGGATTGCTGATGAAGTGCTATACCAAGTTAATTCACCCTTTTTATACAAGATTGATTGATGCATGTTTAAGATGTTAAAGATAAACTAATGATATAAGCTCTTTTGTAATCTGGATATGGAACGTTTCTTATGCATAGTTTTTACATATTCAAATGAACATTCTACAGTGTTTGTTGCACTGAAAAACTAGAGATTCCACTTGAGGTTGAGATTACCATAGATATACTTTTCATGGCTTTGTCCTTGACATGGTTTTTGGGAATGCATGTAATGATCTTAAAGTTCCATTTCTAGATAGCTTGTTCAGTCTGTTATTTAGTTTGAAAAGTTTTAGAGAAGTAGAAAATATTGAATTTAGATTCATTGGTCATAGAAGGTTGATATGATACAATGTCATGTCATTGTTCTGATATTATGAGACATTTTCCTCTTTAAGTTGACGAGTAGCTTTGTTCATTTATACAAAGAAAAATGCTTTGACATGCTCGTAGAAAAAACCTGAAGTTTTGAGTACACAACATTGTCTTGATGAGCCTAAGTTTTAGAATGTCAGGGGGTGAGGGTTCAAAAATAGATTTCAAGTATTATGTAAGCTGCATTCTTTCTCTCCTCCTAGCATCCATAATTTTATCAAAATGTGTACCAAGTATATTTAAGAGAATGATTGTTTGTGTATTTGGGCAACCAACCAGATAGCATACAATTATCGGAACCAACTGTGCAGGAGGTTTAATGTTGGGGTTAAAGATTTTATTTATTTATTTATTGTTGGGAGGGGAGAGTCTTCTCCTTTCACAACAACTTTATTCATGAAGGGATTTGTATAGAGAGGTTGACAAGATGAGTTGAGTGTGGCTGTATGGTAAGGTGGTCACTAGCTTTCCAGAATCAGTCCTCTCAGGAGTGAAGTTTGGTTTTACTAATATTGAGATGAACTATAAAATATATTTATGGATGCGCTGATATTTGTACACAAAAAGTATTTATTAACTGTTGCCAGTTTGTTATATAATTTACCATGTGGCAGGCAAGGATTCATCCTCTGCAGATTTCTTCAAGCCTGTCCAAAGAAAACTGTGCAACATTACACAAGTGCATCAAGGAGGTAACAACCGTTGACCCATCTTGTGGTTGGTCAAAATGTTATAATTGTGCATTCTTCATGGAAAATATAGAGGAAAATATCTGTAGGTCATTCAGTATGCTGTTGAAGTTGATGCTGAGTGCAACCGTTTTCCTAATGATTGGTTATTTCATTTTCGGTGGGGCAAAAAGTCAGGAAATATCAAGGGTAAGATACCTCACAAAACTGATAATCATGTTGGAAAAATTGGTTTTACAGGTTATTGAAACAGCAGTTGAAGTCGGGGCAGATAGTAGTCAGTTCCCAAGTAATTGGATATTTCATTCTCGTGAAAAGAAGCCTGGGAAGGCTTTTGTTAACGGTCTGGTCCCTGAACTATTATGTGTCTTCTAGCATTATCTTCTAGCTTTTTCATTGGGATAAAATGGATAATTTCCTTATAAATGTATGTGTCAGCTTTTATGCGTGCACGGCATGAATGTATACATGTTCATTACTTTCTATTTCTTGACGTTATGCGTGCACTGCATGAATGGATAATTCCCATTAAACACTGGTTGTTTTCTGATTTTATGAATATTTCCATTAATGTTTATTAGCCCTTTTTATCTTTTTCCTTCAAAAATAATGAGCTTCCTTGTAATGACAGGGAAGAAAATTGATTTTATCACTGCTGGTGGCAGGGTAGGTCATTCTAAAATAGAATTCCTGTTGGTCCGACAAGTGCATCTTTAACTGTTTCACATTTCTGGTATAGACATCGGCATATGTACCGGAGTTGCAGAAGTTGAGTGGAACATTAGCTTCAAAAGCAGCAGACAAACCTAGAAAGCAGGCTTCTAAGAGAAAAGAAGGTAAGGCCGAGGAAGATGGCGATGGTGATGAACCTTCGAGTGAGGAAGAGGAAACCACCGAAACTACCAAATCTAAAAAGGGAGCCTCCCGTGAGAAGAAAAACCAAGATGATGCTAGAAGTGAAGAGGATGATGAAGATCCGAAAGAGAAATCCGGGAAGGTTAAAACTAAAACCAGTAACAAACAAGAAAAGTCTGCAAAGACATCCAAGCAAGCAGCGAGCAGTCGAAATAGTAAGAAGCCAAAAAGAGCTAAGTAGTTAGCTACGGTGTTGACATATTTAACAGCTCTGGAAATGCCTGCCCAATTTTTGTAAGAATTGAAAGGGCTCTGTGTTGCGTTCTTTTAAGTAGCATCGTTTTTCAACTTGCTTTAACTCCGAATCCGGGGCCAACTTCTTCTGCATCAATGCCTGTTGCAACTGTTTGCTGCTGGGTATTTTGAAGAATTGGATCCCATTTTCAAGTTGTATTTAAGCTAATTAAGTTTCAAAGCACCAAATATCCTATGAATAGCCTAATTGGCTAATTGCTGCTAGTCCGGATGATGTATTTTCGATTCCTTAGCTTTCTAGTCGGCATTATTCAAGATTTTGGATTCTGGAAAATTTCAGAGATCGAAATTTGAAGCCATGTAGTATGTCAATGCAAACATAAAAATAAAGCCATTACGTTAGCAATATTATTATCACAGTATAACAACATATATAACAAACTAATGAATGCAAAAAAGAAAAAGTAAATGGAACAAAACATCGCCATTTATGAATCCTTCCTGGATGCAACTTAGACAAGAACCCAACTTTGTTCGTCCCTTGTTTGCTTCTCAATCTCGAAGCAAACGCCTCTGATATAATCTTGATTAACATATCTTTCCCATTAATCAGTAACAAAGAAAACCCATCCTTTCCTTGGTTAGGGAAATAGTAGCGATGCATGGGAGAAGAGTCGTAAGAAGAAGCTGAAGCTGAATAACAATACGATTAGAGAGTAGAAGAAGAAGAGGAGGCAATCGTAGTAGTCGCTGTAATACAACGTGAGCTTTGAACTAGTCGATAATGGCGGATACTTCTCTCACAAATAAAGTGAACAACACATGCATGGGGATTGCATGTACTTCTGGTGTTTTCTGCAGCCACGGTCCCCGCCAAGCCAATATTCATCCCTTCACTATATGCACCAACACCCGGTCATCACTATTCACAATAATCAAAACCCTCTGTTTGTGATGTGATATGGAGAGTTAATGGGTCAACAAAGCAATGGTTGATGGGGTGATGGCACCATGTCCCCATATATGAGATTCGAAAGAAGATTGTGTCAAAGGTCGGTCAACTCTCGTTTCGTGTGATTAAATGATTCTAAGAAAGTTAACAGGGCTATGGTTATTATTTGATTTATTATAAAATAATTTACTTTTTTCAACTTCAATGGTAAAAAATAAACTTACTCGTATTTCCGTGAATATTGATGTAGTTTACCTTTTAATTTCGAACCCCACTTCAAATACATGGCCATAAATCGATTACAGCGAAAGAAAAAGATAGACAACCAATCAACAACAGAAAAAGAAGGATGGAGGAAGCGAAAGGAGTTGTGAAGCACATTGTGCTGGCAAAGTTCAAAGATGAAACCACACCAGAGAAGATTGAATAACTCATCAAAGCATATGCCAATATTGTCAACCTCATCCCACCCATGAAAACTTTCCAATGGTATCATACTATCCCTTGCCACTCACTGTTTTTCTTTTTTCATCATTTTTCAGATCCAGTGCAGCCATAGCAGTTGTCTATGTGATGATGGATCTGTGGTTTTACTTCGAAACTCTTGGTTGGTCTGAAGTTAAGTTCATTTCCATGGCAGGGGAGAAGACGTTAGCATCGAGAACTTGAATCAAGGTTTTACACACGTATTTGAGTCCACATTTGAGACTGCCGAAGGGATTGCAGAATACTGCGCTCATCCTGCTCATGTTAAGTTTGCAAACTTGTTTCTCTCCCATTAGGACAAGGTCATTATATTTGACTACAAGCCCACTGTTGTTCGTTGCTAAGGCCTAAGAACATAAAGATTATGGTCTGAATGTGGTATTTGTCCCGCAGTGTTGTTTCTGAATCTGGTTCTTCTCTATGTTTCTGGGGTCATGTTTGGTTCTGTTGAATAAAAGAGACAAATGGACTCTTTGTATGAAATGCATATCCTAGTGGTCAAGGCGAAGTATGCTTGTTTTATGTTCTTAAAACATTTGATTCCTCGCTGTATTTGTCTTTTGATGCTTACACCCGATTCACCCGGGCAATAGGAAGCTCGAGCTTGGCAGCTCGCCCTCTCCGCGAAGTTTCCACTTGGGCAGTGTCTTCCTTTCACCTTTTTGGTTACAAGTCCATCCATGTTCACCATATCAATGTTGATGTATGAAGGATGAGGTGGTGGTTTATGGTGGCAAACACGATAGAGACTGAGGGGAAAATTGATTGTTTATGGTTCACTCCCTTCCGATATGGACAAATAATCACGAGTCGGTCGAAATTTCGGTTGAAAGGTTTATTTTGAGAGAATATCTTTTGAGAGACTTTGAGGGTCTTCTTTTTTGTTTTGGAGGGGATATATTATTTACTTTAAATGTTTGGTTGTCGCGTGATCACATATTTGTAGGACGAGTTGCAGAGTTTAGAAGGGTAGACTCAGTATGTGAGTTTATCGAACTACATAGGTTATTATTATCATTTTTTGTTAGCGTGCCATATAATTAAAATGATTAAATCGTAATAAATCAATAATAAAAGAGATCGAGATACTTTTTTTCCCTAAACGATGACAAAAAACAAGACCAAAACCAAGAGTGACCTCCAACGTAATTTACTCCTTTTTCATGTGTTGTAATTCCGTAGCCCACTTCAAATTCTTGGCCATAAACCGATTACAACGAAAGAAAGAGATAAACGAAAACAAGAGCAGAAAAAAAGAAGAATGGAGGAAGCGAAAGGAGTTGTGAAGCGCATAGCGGTGGTGAAGTTCAAAGATGGAACCACAGAGCAGAGAAGATTGAGGAACTCATCAAGGGATATGCCAATCTTGTTAACCTCATTCCACCCATGAAAGCTTTCCAATGGTATCATGCTATCCCTTTTCACTCTCTCTTTTTCTTTCTTTTTTCCCCATCATTTAAGTTTCGTATCCATGAATTCATTCAGCTGACTTTAGTAATAAAAAGGAAGTGTTATTTCCTCTAAATATTTCGCATTCTAATATGTGTCTACCGGATCATGAGAATTTTAAATAGATAATCACCCAGACTATTAAAAACAATTCAGATCCACTGCAGACATGGTTGTTTATTTTGATGGTGAATATGTGGTTTTACTCTGAATCTTTTGGTTGGTCTAAATTTAAGGTCATTTCCATGACAAGGGCAAGGACCTTAGTGTTGAAAACTTCAATAGAGGGTTCACCCCTTTGTTTGAATCCACATTTGAGAGTGCCGAGGCGATTGAAGAATACAACGCTCACCCTGCTCATTTGGAGTTTGCAAAACTGTTTCTCCCCTGGTCGGACAAGATTATTGCAGTTGACTACAAACCTAGTGTTGTTCGTTGCTAAGTTTAAGAAAACATAGAGACTATTGTCTGAATCTGCTATTTGTCCTTCACTGTTGTCTCTTAATATGATTCTTTTCTGTGTTTCTGGGGTTATGTTTGGTTCTGTTGAATAAAAGAGATATATGGACTCTCTGTATGAGATGCATATCCTTGTCGTCAAGGAAAAATAGGCTTGTTTTATGTTCTGAAAAAATTTCATTCCTTGCTGATTTATCTTAGGGGCGTAAATAAATCCAACTTGAACTAATAAAATTGTTTTCGAATTTGATTGTTTATTTTTGTATATACACATATTTGATTTGTGTTCATTTAAATTTTTATTATAGTGTTTGTGTTTGTTTATTTAGTTTTGAAAGTGTTCATGTTCGATTTGTTTGACATTAACAAATATATTCGTAGGGTGGCAATCGGGTGGGAAAAAAACAAAAACTGTGAGGATCCGAACCGACGGGATGAGAAATAACCGAAATCTTTACCCATGGTGATGGGGGAAGTTTTATTCCTGAAGTTCAAATGGGTCCCGAAGTTCAAATGGGTCTCGAAGTTCAAATGGGGATGAGGACAGTGATTGCTATATCCGAACCATGGAGATAATCGAACCATACTCGTGTGAATAACCGTGGGGATTCCTAAAAAATAATCTTAGGGACCCCAATATTTTACAAAAATAACCGTTGGGAACCTCGAAAAATATCTGGGAGATTACGTGTTGTCACTGTTACATCTCAAATGAACTAAAATTGAAGTTTAGATCTATTCTCATTTAATATACATTGATTTGTTGAGATTGAAAGTGGTTAAGATTGTACATATACATTGGGTGTTAGATGAATATTAATTTTTGAAACTTTCATATTATAAATAGAGACCAATTTGAGACAATATGATATATCTTAAAAGTTTTAGGTGTTGTATTGATTTAAAAAATGTTTGTTTATTTTTTGCATAGAGATTAATCGAAACCCACACGGATCCGTAAGGGATGGGTATGGGGATAAAAAAATCCCCGAAACATATAATGAGATTCCCAAAAACCGTACCCACAAATACTAGGGACGGAATGAATAATGTAAAACCGTCCCCGCCCCGCCCGTTGCCACCCCTATATGTTCATTTAGTATCAATGAACATGTTCATTTAATATTCATGAACATATTCTTTACAATCAACAATCTTACCTGTTATTTACAAACTAAAGAAAAATAGTAAAATTTTACCATTAATCCTTAAGTTCAATATACATCACAGTTTGAATTCTAAAGTTCATAATGTAATAAGTTTAGTCCTTACTTTCATCAATGTTTAAAATGTAAAAAAAAAAAAACTGAATAAACAAACTAAATCGCGAACATAAACTAACAGAACACACATTTATTCGTATTCGTTTATTTATTAAATAAACATAAATATTTTGTTCATACTCATTTATCTTATTTAATATACAGACAATTACAAACAATTCATCAAACGACCTGTTTACTTGTACCTCTAATTTCTCTTTTGGTGCTTACACTCGATTCACCAAAGCAATAATAAGCTCGAGTTCGAGCTAGGCAGCTCGTCCTTTCAGCGAAGTTTCCACTGGTATCTATTTACATCAACGAAAAGTAACGAGTACAGTATACTATAGAAATGTGTCAATCTATATAACATAAATTATTGATATGTTTGTTTTACAACATCCTGCACTCAAACCTAACTCAAAGCCAAAATCACCACAATCCAGCAACAATAGGAACAAGAACAGGGTTAGCTACACAAACTAACTTAACACTTCTGAAAGACTGCAAGTAAAAACTGCAACCGCATCCTGCAAAGGAGTTGAACGAAGGTCTTCCGGAATGGGAGCTTTGAAGACGGTATCATAGCAGCTTAATTGGTCATATATACTTAACTTCCGCTAGTATCGGAAAGCAGCAATCCTCCGCCATCTTTGAATAAGCAACTCTGCACCATAGTTTCACAGAAACATTTATCCAATCACTACAGACCAAGAACCTGGAGTATATTACGTATCGACACTGTAAACCGTGAAAAGGAAAGATACAGAAATCACAATTGTTCTGTGACAATACGAAAGATGATTCTCTGGGACATTAAGAGCCACGTAAATGAGAAGGAAAAAGGGGGAAAAGGACTACCAGCTGCTTTTCAAAAGAAAAGAAAAGGTTTGTAATAAAACCGAGGAAATTTAGGATTTAAAAAAAAAAAGGAAGGGGAGGTGTTCTTGAGTTTACGAAAACTTGTTATGCAGACATAAGCTGGCTGCCAGGATATACAATTTTATTAGGCTTAATTCACAATTTAGTCCGTGAAGTATGTCCTTTTTCCCACTTTACAACCTAAACTATGTAGGCTGTAGGGGATATGTGTCAGCTAAAAACTATGTTTTGTCCCAGTTTATCCCCTACAGCCTACATATCACTTTTTTTTCCTAGTTTACCCCAAAATATAAAAGCAACCAATAAGAACGTGATGCATATTATATTATTATTGGATGCCGATACTTTTGGGCAATCTGAGACGAAAATGATAGTTTAGGGTGTAAAGTGGGAAAATAGGTATAATTCAGGGGCTAAATCATGAATTAAGCCATTTTATTTCGGGATATATTCAAATGGAACATATTTATATGAATCAGCCAGTCCAGACGGATATAGTTCAGAGACTTTAGTTCATTTAACAGCAAATTTAGTTCACACTGCGATTTATAATACAAGGACCGAGTCTCCGTTTGCACCTCTTTTAATTACAGGAGGATTAGTTCTAGTCCCCTTGGTTTCATGTTGGCCAATACCAAATGTCATTACAAACTGATAATATTGAATTAAGTTTTGGAGATCTGGTTTTCATTTTTCATTCTATATTCGGATGCCATCCATCCATCTATCTATATTTATTCACACTCGTAAGAAAAGATATTAACATAAATACCTCGCATCAACATGTAATTTGTCACCTCAAACTGCTGAAGACTCATTCAAACGGCCAAGAAAGTCTTTACAAGCTGCATTTTTTCTGTCAAGAGAATCCTGAAAAATTCACCAACATTCACTTATAGAAGGAAATACATAAATCAAGTGATGATATTTCGCAAATTTGGTTCAACAGCTTAAGGGTACAATTGCTTAATCTATCACGAATCTAATAGGAAGATGATGGGAAAAAGAAAACAAAAAAAGAAAAAGAGAAACATTCGAGAAAAATGGCATCATTATATCTCAGCCGGTTCAAATGTTGAAAAATTACTAATGATTTGATCACACAGACAAAATGATTAGCATTATTTGCTCACCTGACAAGCTTTAAACTTTCAACCATCATTTATGTTAATAGAATTAACATCTAGCATGCAGCTTTCAACCATCATTTATGTTAATAGAATTAACTAGCTACACTTTGCTTAAAGTGGCCACCCCATTGAGATGAACCCAAAGTTTAGAAGGAAAAACATGACTCAAGCTAAGGATATCATTCAGCACAACCCCATAACCAGGAAGCTGTGTTCACAAAAACTGGAATGATATGGTTCACTAACAGAAGCGTCCAACAAGCTATAGCTTATATTCAGATTTAGATTATATGGCTTGATAAATTGCACGAGTTTCTTACCAATTCAGCAATAGTATTGTTATCTTCCTGGAATGAACTTCTTAGCACATAGAATGAAATATAAATTCCAGCTCCCAAATCCCAATTTTCGATTTCTGACTTGTGGTTCCCCATGAAGTTGCAATCTGTGTCATTGGCTTCATTGAAGAATAAAACATAAGACAGATTAACTATACCAACGGTATTTGAGACTTATGAATTCTTCAGTAACCCAAAATTAAGCATTACATTCTTCAATCCAGCATGAATTTAAAACAAATTTAAACAACTAAAATTGATCCTAAGAGTTAGTAGAATAAGCATCTATAATCTGCATGACAGTTTCAAAATAGCAAGAGTATAATGAGCCACCCACCTGCCACGTGATAAGACACATCAACGCATGGACATGGGGTTTTGTGCTCTAATACATCAATACGAACAGAATGAACTACTAAACCCCCTTGATTGTATAGCTTAATCAGAATTCTCAAGAATAAGCTGCTCCCCCACCCCTCTTCAAATATCACTTTACTAGTACTAGTAGTATCTAAACTTTCTTTTAGTAAATGTTTTAGAAAGCTAAATGGAAAATTTTGAAGGTGGGAAAGAAGTAACTTGTATAAAGAGAAAAAAAGATTCCTAGTTAATTCTGTCCTGCTATGTAATACCGTGTTTCTCATTTCCATAATATACATAAATTTCCTTTGAGGTCTAAACCAAATAAATTTGGTAGGTCGCATCACCGATTCACCGTTATTATTTTTTATGTAATTTTATATCATGCTTTTTTATGTTTTTTTACTGGGGTAAAGGAAGGGGGAGGGGAGACTTAAAATTTAATTTAAAGTCACATCCATAAGGCATTAGAAAAGGAAACGATAACAGCATAACAAAGCTCATGAGGCATATATGAATTACTTAATCTGCAATAAGATCATACCAGACAAGAACAATGCATGAGCAACTGAAGTCATGAAAATAGAATGAGCCTTTTGCCAATTTTCACATTCCAAAATGTGCTCGAGAGCCCTTGGTAAATCCTCATGGTAATTGAAATAAACTGCCTGCACAATACCAGGACAAATTTCTCAATTGGAAAACAACACTCGAGTTCCAAAGAACCTTTCAGAGCTCTCTTTCATATCATACATAAACATACAGAAACAAATACAAAGACAAGCATACAGCAGGACAAATCCAAATTGCTTGTGATTTGAAAGGAGTTAATCAAAGAAAAAGAGGATATTAAAGATTCCACCCAAACTTTCACAGCTCTAAATAACCTCTCTCTCTCTCTCTCTCTCTCTCTCCCCCCCCCCCCAAAATCATGCAAACATATATGGACACATACAGATACAAGCATACAGCAGGACAATCAAGATGGCTGGAAACTTTAGAAGGAGTTCATCAGCAAAAAAGAAAATGAAAGTAAGAGGAAAAGAAAAGAAAGAACGAGATTCAAAGATCCCACCCAACCAGGATGCTGACAATCTGCCACTATGCAAAGAATCTAAATTAATGATGGATCTAACCCAAATAGAGCACCTAATCTACTGCCAAAGCTCCAAATGTTAGCATAAAATACCACTCAGGTTATACATAGATAGTCCAATGACACTGCTCCTGACATAGTAACTGGGATATAAGTCCCATGTCAAGAGCTTGAAGATCATTAGAATTGAAAGCATCAACAGCTTCCAAGATAGCCCGCTGATGCCATTTCATATGGTAGTGAACAAATTTAGGAAGAAGAAAAGTCTCTTATTTCTTCGAATAGGAGTACACCCTTTTTAACATAGCAGAAAAAAATAAAAAAGGAAATAATCTCTAATAATAAGTCTATCCCTAAAAATCAGTAATTAGATTATAACACTCCCCCTCAAGCTGGAGTGTAGATGTCAATCGAACCTAGTTTGCCCATAATTTCTTCGAACCTTTTTCTTCTCAAGCTCTTGGTTAACACATCTGCTACTTGTTGTCGAGTAGGTAGATATGAAACACAAACTTCCCCTTTGTTAATTTTCTCTGTAATGAAGTGGCGATCGATTTCCACATGCTTGGTGCGGTCATGGTGTACAGGGTTGTGAGCTATATTAACTGCTGCATGGTTGTCACAGTTCAATATTATAGGTGTTGTATAGGATAATTTTAGTTCTCCCATTAGCCGTTGTAGCCACATTCCTTAACATATACCTTGGGACAGAGCTCGATACTCAGCTTCAGCACTGCTACGTGCCACAACTGACTGCTTTTTACTCCTCCATGTCACGAGATTACCCGAAACATAGCTACAATAACCACTTGTGGAGCGCCTGTCATTAATAGCACCTGCCCAGTATGCATCAGTGTAGACTTCTATGCTTCGATTTGCATTTTTCTTGAAATGCAACCCCTTACCTGGAGTCCCTTTTAAATATCTCAATATCCTGTAGGCAACTTCCAAATGTTTCTCCCTAGGAGCATGCATAAATTGACTAATAACACTTAATACAAATGCTATGTCTGGACGAGTATGAGAAAGATAGATAAGTTTTCCCACTAACCTTTGATATCTCCCCCTGTCTACCTCTTCTCCATCCTTATCAGTTCCTAATTTACGGTTGGGTTCCATGGGAGTCTCGGCTGGTTTGCAACCCAACAGTCCGACTTCAGAAAGTAGATCAAGAACATACTTTCTTTGAGAGATTGAAATACCTGCCTTTGACCTTGCTATCTCCATTCCAAGAAAATATCTAAGATTCCCCAAGTCTTTAAGTTGAAACTCAAGACTTAAGAATTCTTTTAGTCTTTCAATTTCAATAGAGTAATCTTCTGTCAATATTATGTCATCAACGTATACAATGAGAATACAACACTTCCCATTAGCCGAGTGTTTGTAGAATAAGGTGTGATCAGCTTGACCTTGAATATATTGTCTACTCGCCATGGCTTTGGCAAAACGATTAAACCAAACCCTGGGGGATTGCTTTAGTCCATACAAAGACTTCTTCAACTTGCATACTTGGCCCTTGCTTCCTTCGAATCCGGGCGAAAAATCCATGTAGACTTCTTCGTTTAATTCTCCATTGAGAAAAACATTCTTTACATCCAATTGGATCAAAGGCCAATCTAAATTGACAGCAATTGAGAACAACACTCGAATAGTATTTAGTTTGGCCACTGGTGCAAATGTTTCCTCGTAATCCAACCCATATGTTTGAGTGAAACCCTTGGCCACAAGTCTAGCTTTGTATCAATCAATGCTCCCATCTGGTTTAACTTTCATAGTGAAAATCCACTTACAACCCACGGTCTTCTTTCCAGTAGGTAGTTTAGATATTTCCCACGTTCCATTGTCTTCAAGAGCCTTTATTTCTTCCAACACGGCTTGCTTCCATTTGGTTGACTTAAGAGCCTCTTCATGTTCTTTGGAGTTTCTACAGAGTCAATATTAGAAATAAAGGCATTGTAGGATTTAGACAAGTTCTCATAGGATACAAACCGATAAATGGGATGTTGAGTGCAGCTTCTCGTGTCCTTTCTGATTGCAATTGGAAGATAGATGGAAGGCGAAGGAGGTGAGACTTCTTCATCAGGACAGTCATCGGGTAAAGATGGCATTGGCACTGATGTTTCAGTTTCTGGCAGCTGATGTTTCCGAGAATATACACGAAGGTGCTGAGTTTTTTCTTGTTGTTTTTCAGAAGGAGAGGGTTTTTTTTCTTCATTTGTATGATTAATCGCCCTTGTTTCTTGTTGATGCACAGTGGAGTCGAGTAAAACGGGGTCCAAATCAGGAATTACAATGGCTGTAGGAATTTCAGCAGTGGCTGTAGGAATTTCAGTAGTGGCTGTAGGATTTTCAATAGTGGCTGTAGGATTTTCAACAGGTTTTGTAGTGGTGGTAGGATTGATAGAGTCTTGAGGTATAATGAGAAGGTTGTTCAATATCTCATCTTCACTAAATATCTACCCCTGAAGATGAGAGACTGAAAAATATGACTCGTTTTTGAAGAAAGTAACATCAAGGGACACAAACATCCGGTGTAGGGTTGGAGAATAACACTTGTACCCCTTTTGTGTAGGTGAGTATCCAAGAAAGACACAAGTGTGAGCTCTAGGATCAAGTTTAGATCGGTTAGGTTGATGATTGTGGACAAATGCTTTGCAACCGAAAG